CTGCACTCCAGCCTGGGCGACAGAGCGAGACTCCGTCTCAAAAAAAAAAAAAAAAAAAAAAAAAGTGAATCTCATAGAGAGTAGATTGACAGTAAGGGAAGAGCGGGTAAGGGGATGGAGAGGTTGATTAATGGGTACAAATATACAGTTAGGTAGAAGAAAGAAGACCTGATGTTCAATAAGGTGACTGTAGTTAACAATCTGTTGGACATTTCTTCTTTTTTTTTTTTTTTTTTGAGACGGAGCCTCACTCTATTGCCCAGGCTGGCGTGCAATGGTATGATCTCCGCTCCTGCAACCTCTGTCTCCCAGGTTCAAACAATTCTCCTGTCTCAGCCTCCCTTCCTGTCTCAGCCTCCTGAATAGCTGGGATTACAGGGGCACACCACCAGGCCTGGCTAATTTTTGTATTTTTAGTAGAGATGGGGTTTCACCATGTTGGTCAGGCTGGTCTCGAACTCCTGATCTCATGATCCACCCACCTCGGCCTCCCAAAGTGCTGGGATTACAGGCCTGAGCCACTGCGCCTGGCCACTACTGGGCATTTCAAAATAACTAGAAGAGAATAATTCAAATGTTCCTAGCGTAAAGAAAAGATAAATATTTAAGGCGACAGCTATCCCAATGGCCCTGATTTGATTATACAAATGTACCAAATTATCACATGTACCCTGAAACTATGTACATCTATTATGTATCAATGAAAAATAAAAAAATTAAATTCCTACTAAAGAAAAGAAAGCCCAAGTAGTCCAATAGCTATGGGATAAATTGAATCAGTGACTTAAAAAAAAAAAAAAAAATCAAGCCGGCCAGGCGCGGTGGTTCATGCCTGTAATCCCAGCACTTTGGGAGGCTGAGGCAGGTGGATCACGAGGTCAAGAGATCAAGACCATCCTGGCCAACCAACATGGTAAAACCCCATCTCTACTAAAAATACAAAAATGAGCTGGGCATAGTGGTGCATGCCTGTAGTCCCAGCTACTCAGGAGGCTGAGGCAAGAGAATCTCTTGAACCCGGGACACGGAGGTTGCAGTGAGCCGAGATCACACCACTGCACTCCAGCCTGGGCGACAGAGAGAGACTCCGTCTAAAAAAAAAAAAAAAAAAAAAATCAAGCCTAGATAGTTTTCACATAATTCCTAGCTGATTTTCATGGAGCAAATGATGCCAAACATCATAGCTTATCCTAACCTAACTTAAACATGCCCAAAACACTCACATTAGCCTACAGATAGAAAAAGATTAAAATTCAAATTTTGAAGTACAGTTTCTATTGAATGTGAACCACTTTCAAACCACCATAAAGTTAAAAAATCATAAGTTGGGGACTGTATTTGCATTCTCATTTTATACTATTACAAAGAATATCAAAAGAAGCATACTTCTTAACTCTGTATGAGGTTAGTATAAACTTGATGTAAAACTAATTAAGGACTGTATGAGAAAGGAAATAACAGACCAGAATCTCTCATGAACGTGGATGGAAATATTATAAACAAAATATTAGGAAACTGAATCCGACATTATGTAATAAAGACAATTTATCAGGGCTAAGCTGGATTTATCCCAAGAGTATAAGAATGATTTAACATAAAATTCATAACTTTAGTCCATCACATTAAATGGATTAAAGGAGAAAAGTTATATAATTATCTCAATAGATATAGTACAGGCATTCAGTAAAAGTTAACATCCAGTTATGACAAAAGCTCTTAGTAAAGCAGAAATAAAATGAAACTTCCTATTGTTAAAAGGTTATTTTTTAAAAGCCTATAATCTTCATCATTCTTAATGGTAGATCACTGTAAACATTGTTCCATGAAGAGCAGACAAAGATAAGTTCAGGTGCAGTGGCTCACACCTGTAATCCCAGCACTTTGGGAGGCGGAGGCAGGCAGATGGCTTGAGCTCAGGAGTTTGAGACCAGCCCAAGCAAGATGGCAAAAACCCATCTGTACAGAAAATACAAAAATTAGCTGGACATGGTGGTGCACACCTGTAATCCCAGCTACTTGGGAGGCTGAGGCAGGAGAATCGCTTGAGCCCAGGGGTTGGAGGTTGCAGTGAACCAAGATCACCCCACTACACTCCAGCCTGGGTGACAGAGTGAGACACTGTCTCAAAACAGACAAACAAAACAGAGTAAGGCAAAGATGTCTGCTATCACTCCTTCTAGTCAATAAGGTGAAGGGTAAGACAGAAAATCATACTGTCATTATTTGTAGGTAATATAATTGCGTATATAGAAAACCTCAAAAGAATGTACAGACAAATTATTAGAATTAATAAGAAAGTCCAGCAAGGTTAACTGCTAAAATACAAAACTGGAAGAAGGTATTTGTGACATATAGAACTGACAAAAAGTAAGATCTAGCGTGTGTGTGTGTGTGTGTATGTGTACGTGTGTGTCTGTGTGAATTTTTTTTTTTTTTTGGGACGGAGTTTTGGTCTGTCGCCCAGGCTAGAGTGCAGTGGCATGATCTCGGCTCACCGCAACCTCCGCCTCCCAGGTTCAAGCGATCTTCCTGCCTCAGCCTCCCAAGTAGCTGGGATGTACAGGCATGTGCCACCACGCGAGGCTAATTTTGTATTTTCAGTAGAGATGGGGTTTCTCCATGTTGGTCAGGCTCGTCTCAAACTCCCAACCTCAGGTGATCTGCCCATCTTGCCCTCCCAAAGTGCTGGGATTATAGGCATGAGCCACCGCACCTGGCCTTGTGTGAATTTTAAAATAAGAAAAAGACAAACCAGTAGGAAGATGAGCAAAATACATGAATAGGCACTTTATCATAAAAGGAAATATAAATTACTCACGAACATGAAAAGATGCTCAACTTCATTGACAATCAGGTAAATATAAATAAATGCCACAAGAAGATAGCATTTTACTCCAACTCTGTTGGCAAAAATTAACAAATTTAGTGTCAAGTGCTGGTGAAGACATGTATCAGTGGAGCCTCTTTTATACCACCAAGATTGTGTAAATTGGAACAATCTCGATAAACACTTTGGCAATATTTTGTGCAATTGAACTGGATATATTACAGGGAAATCCTTGCACACACATAACAATATTTGTTGCAGTACTATTTACCAAAAATTGGAGCCTATCAAATGTCTACTGATAGGAAAATGGAAAAATAGTGATATATTCACAGAGTGCATGTACTATAGCTACACACATCAACCTGGTCAAATATAATGTATCAAAATGGCACACTATGGAAAACTAAATAAAGTCAAACTTGTATAAAGCTCAAACAAGTAAACTAAACGATATCTTGTTTAGTGATATCTATGCCTATGATAAAACTATGTATTTTTTAAAATCAAGCATATAGTCAATATGAAATTCTTTTTTTTTTTTTTTTTTTTTTTTTGAGAAGGAGTCTGGCTCTGTGGCCCGGGCTGGAGTGCAGTGGCCGGATCTCAGCTCACTGCAAGCTCCACCTTCCGGGTTTACGCCATTCTCCTGCCTCAGCCTCCCGAGTAGCTGGGAACACAGACGCCCGCCACCTCGCCAGGCTAGTTTTTTGTATTTTTTAGTACAGACGGGGTTTCACCGTGTTAGCCAGGATGGTCTCGATCTCCTGACTTCGTGATCCGCCCGTCTCGGCCTCCCAAAGTGCTGGGATTACAGGCTTGAGCCACCGCGCCCGGCCATGAAATTCAACCTAGTATTACCTCTGGTGAGGAGGTAGAGCAAGACAGGAAAGGGGAATACAGGTGGATGCATGAATAGGCAGTGTTCTAATTCTTAAGCTGAAAGGTGAGTTTCTAAGTCTTCATTTCATGTTGCATTTGTTCTTTTGATGTGTGAAATACTATAGGTTAAGACAGCTGTAGTTTCCCTCATTCGCCACTACATGGCAGGCTAGCACCTCAGTGAAATAGGTCCTGAATGGGAAAGGCTGGTGTAAATGGACATGTACCTAATGGCAGTATTCTAGCAGCATTCTAATTTCCCCATAGGGATACAGATAAACTAGGGCCTGATGTTCTCAGAGTGTTTAAATGCACAACCACAGCATCTCAGGTGTACATCACTGTGGCGTGGATCTTGCAGCCACGTGACCGGGTTTTTTGTTTTTATTTTTCCTTTCTTTCTGCCTGGTTATGTAACTATTTTTGCAAACTTAGAAGTCTCTCTGTTTGAATGTTGAGTTTTATTTCTCAGAATGTTCCAATATTTCCCAAGGCATTCATTCCTAAATTAATAACATGGAGCAGGAGGGCAGTCCCTCATGGCAATTGACACATCTAACTTGCACTTTTATGTCTAATGTTTTGGTGCTGTGTTTTTCACCACTAGCATTAGAACCACTGTTTAATAATGTCTGATGACACTATTGCAATATATAAAGTAATACTTAAAATTTAGTACCAATCAATGTTAAAATAGCAATGCAACAGTCATCGAAATCACTCACAGAAAGTCTGGTGCCAAATAGCTTATTGACATGATGTGATTGATGTGATAGTGACAAATGTCGGCAGGTCCTTCTTTTTTAGCAGCCAAGATTATGCCACCAGTGGTGACACACAAACAGCATAAAGTCTAACTTCTATAAATCTCAAACAGGTAAACTATACAGTATCTCCTTTGGTAATACCTATGCCTATGATAAAACTACATTTTTTTTTTTAAATCAAGAAAATGGTTGACATGAAATTCAAGCCAGTATTCTCTGGTGAGGAGGGAGGGCATGATAGGAAAGGGGCATAGGGAGCACACAGGTGGATGCATGAGCAGGTAATGTTCTAGTTCTTAAGTTGGATGGTGGTGTGAGCCACCCACTTGCAGCTTCACGCTCTAGACTTGCCCTGTCTGCTACCATAGCACTAGACACATGTGGCAAGGGAGCACTTGAAATAAGATGTGCTGTAAGTATAAAATACACACTGGAGTTTGAAGACTTAGTATGAAAAAAAGGTCAAATGTCTCTTAATAAATTTTAATGTTGATTACATGTTGAAATGATAATATTTTGAGCAGTGTGAAGAAGAGGCGACAACGACCCCAGGACAGATCAAAGCCCATGCCGCTGTATCCCACGTGCCCAGCGCCTACCTCCCGCCGCTGTTGCCGCCACCACCGTGCCCAGGAGAAAGACTGAAGGTGATGCTAAAGGAGATAGAACCAACATGAAGGACGAACCACAGAGAGGATCCACGAGATTTTCTGCTAAGCCTGCTCCCCGAAAGCCAGAGCCTAAACCTAAAAAGGCCCCTGAAAAGAAGGCAGAGAAGGTACCCAAAAAGGAAAAGGGAAAAGCTGAGGCTGGCAAGGAGGGGAATAACCCTGCAGAAAATGGAGATTCCCAAACAGATCAGACACAGAAAGCTGAAGGTGCTGCAGATGCCAAGTGAAGCGTGTGCATTTTTGATAACTGTGTACTTCTGGTGACTGTATAGTCTGAAATGCTATTTTTTATCAAGTTTTATAAAAATGTAGACTTTGTTTTACCTTTTTTTTAAGCTATGTTGTTAGCACACAGAACACTTCATTGTGTTTTTTGGGGAAGGCCATATGTCACTAACACAATGTCTCCGAAGCTGGATTGACGTGTGGAAAACCCCTTTCCCTTCTAGTTTTGGGAGACTTGCTCTTGGCTCCCAGGAGGGGTGATTCCCTGACTTTGACACCCAAGGCACCTTGGCACAAAAGCCTTGTGGGACGGAAAAACAAATTCGTTTTTATGTCCTCTTCTCCTTTTCCACCTTTCAGCATAGACTTAACTCCCTTAAGCCCAGACACCTGTTGGGACCTGACCTTCAATAATTGGCTACCGGTGTGTCAGGCAATCTGGACTTTCCAGTGATGCCACTGAGATGGAACCCCTCGAAAAAGCAGTGGTTCCGTTTCTAGATTGTGGATCTTCAGAAAAATTCTGTCATTTTCATTTCATTTCCTGAAGGTCAGGGTCAACTCGTGAAACATTGTTAAACAACATGCTAAATGTGAAACATCAACCTCACTCTCAACTTTCCCTGTTTAGAGCATCAGATGAGGACTTCATTTGGGTTTTACAGTGGCTTTCTGATTTTGGGTAGTCCATTGAAGAAGGGAGTTTGAAAGTCACTGCATACTGTTAACGATTGTCTGCCCATGTCCTGCCTGAAATGCCATGATTGTTTATGGACAGTATCTTTAATACAGCTGGATACAGTTTGGCTTGGGGAAAAAAAGAAATAATATTTTATATATGTTTGGTTAAATGAAATATTTCAATTCATTTCACCTGTTTCTTTTTACTTTTTCTCTTTTTTGGAGTCAGGGTCGCCCTCTGTCACCAAGGCTGGAATGCAGAGTTGCAGTCAGCACTCACTGAAACCTCAACCTATCAGTTTTAAAAGATCCTCCTGCCTCAGCCTCCCCAGTAGCGTAGCTGGGACTACAGGTGCGGGCCACCACTCCCGGCTAATTAATTTTTGTAGAGACAGGGTCCCACTATGTTGCCCCGTCTGTTGTCCAACTCCTGGCCCGAAGTGATCCTCCTTCTTCGACCTCCCAAAGTGCTAGAATTACAGGCATGAGCCACAGCCCCTAGCCTTTGCCCTCTTTTTTTTTGTTTGTTTTTGAGACGGAGCCTTGCTCTGTCTCCTAAGCTGGAGCGCAGTGGCGCCATCTCGGCTCACTGCAACCTCTGCCTCCCAGGTTCAAGTGATTTTCCTGCCTCATCCTCCCATGTAGCTGAGATTACAGGCACGCGCCACCACACCCAGTTAATTTTTTGTATTTTTAGTAGAGGCGGGGTTTCACCACGTTGGCCAAGCTGGTTGCAAACTCCCGACCTCAAGCGATCTGCCTGCCTCTGCCTCCCAAAGTGCTAGGATTACAGGCGTGAGCTACGGTGCCCAGCCCTTTTTCCCTTTTTAAAATGTGGTTACTAGAAAATTTAAAATTACATATGTGGCTCGCATTGTATTTCTGTTGGGAAGCACTGCTCTAGACGTTATTACCAATACAGTACTTGTGTATTACAGCAGTCGTGTATCACAGTATTAGTTATTACAATACTGTCTTTGCGATCCCTACACACGGGGCTGGCTTCAGGGGTGTGGGCAGTGCAGTCGCACAGGGCCCCACGTTCAGAAGGGCCTCGCCCTTGGTTTAACGCTCTGCTCTCATTGCCTTGAAACCCTTACTTTTACCTTTGAATTTGAGTTTTCTAAGCGAAGTCTCACAGGACAATGGAGACTGCGCCAGGGGCTTGAAGGCTCGGGTCAAGCCCGCCCCGCCTCCCTCCCTCCTAGGGATGACTCCCAGTGTCTCTGGCTGGGGCCTGCCTCTCGCTCGCCGCTCCTGCCCGGCAACGGCTGCCATTTTCCCCCCAGGCAAGGTCCTGGGCGAGGCTCCGGGGAGGGTCAGGGTGCGCCTCCCGCCGTGTGGTAGGGCGGGGTATGCTGATGGCCACGCATCCCTTCCCCGGGCTTCCCCGGCCCACCTGGATCTAGGGACTGAGCGCGACTGACGCAGAGGTCGCAATACCGCTGGGGGCTGCCTGGTGCCATGGGGTTGGGCCGCGGGCCCACGGGGAGAGACACCTGGTCAGACTTCTGCAGGCCTCTCCCCGCCAGGGAGCGCACGGCAGCGGTGCCCAAGGGCTACAGGCAGCGGAACGCACGCGCCCGGCGTCGCTGAGGGCCTGCGCCGGCCCCAGAGTATCCGCGTGCCCGAGGGAGCGCGCCCGCCTCTGGCTCCGAGCTTGGGGGAGGGGCGGCGGGGGGAGGGAGGATCCTCTTTCCCTGCTTCCAACCTTCCTGAGTCTTTGTTGTGCTGTTTGTCTCTTCTGGCTAGTCAGAGCAGCCTCTGGGGACAAGACGTAACATACGAATTGGGTAACTCGGTGATTCCACATTGCACAATATGAAGATAAATGGTAAAATTCGTGCTAATAATTTAAAATTGTATTTTTTCTTTATTTAGACATTTTCATAAGTAGCATATAAAAAGCACAAAAAGTCCAGAGAGAGAAGGCTAGAATCTAGGTAAAAGCTTTTACTTGCCTTTTGAATAAGGCATCCTGATTTTGCACTGGGCCCACAAATTATGTAGCCAGTCCTGCTTCCATAATCTAAATTTCAAGCACTCTAGGCTCTGACCACTACTTTTGCGTTGTCCAGAACCACAAGTCCAGCAACCCTTTGATTCCAATAGGACCTACAATTAATTGATCTTACCACCTTTTCTCTGGATATATATATGTGTGTGTGTGTGTGTGTGTATCTCCTGGCTTCCCTCCTTTCGGGCTTAAATTTCATTGTCCACTGTTATGGTCATTCCTGTGGATACACCCTGAACTCCCTTGCCACGTCTCCATTCACAATACCCATCTGGCCCACTCTAGTAAAGCCCAACTCTCTGCTCTGTGCGGTCTCTTAGGCTCCACTAGGCAGCCCTGGGTGCCTCACTCTGCAGTCTCCAAAGAGCAACAAGAGGGGAAGCCCTGGTGTGCAAGAGCTCTTCATACCTCTGCTTTAAAGTCATACTCCCCAAGTTCCATTGGCCGGCACAAGTCACAGGGCCAAGCTCAGCCTCAAAGGGTGGACAAATAGATTCCATCTCTTGATGAAAGAAGCTACAGAGTTACATTGTTAAGGGGCTCATGTACATAGATGGAGAAAATTTGTGGCAATTTTTTCAATCTACCACAGACTTTAAAAGGAAAGAAAGTATATCTTAATCTTTCTCCTCCCGGGAGGTATGTTAGTTTCTGCAAATCCGACTACTGTCTCCGGGAACCTCAGTTATTGAGATAACAGGAAGGAGAGGGGCAACTTTGTCAAATCATTAGATTCTCCAGAATTATGTTGGTCTGGTTACCATACATAAGGTGACTACTGCTTAAAAAACTTTTTTTTTTTTTTAAGACAGTGTCTCAGTTTGTTGCCCAGCTGGAGGGATTACAGCTCAGTGCAGCCTCGCCCTCCAGGGCTCAGGTGACCCTCTCACCTCAGCCTCTTGAGTAGCTGGGACTACAGGTGCTTACCACCACGCCCAGCTAGGTTTTTTGTTTGTTTGTTTGTAGAGACAGGGTTTTGCCATTTTGCGTAGGCTGATCCTCGAACTCCTGGGCTCAAGCTATCTGCCCGCCTCAGTCTCCCAAAGTGTTGGGATTACAGGCATGAGCCACCATGCCCGGCCCCCACAAAAAATCTTTTAAACATCTATTGAGTACAATGTTTTGCATGGATTATAAAATACTTGCTCTATTTCCTCATTATCATTGAGGAAATAGAGACAAAGTAGTTAAAATATATGCATGAAGTCACACAAGTAGGAAGCGGCAGAATCCAGATTTGAATACAGGTCTGTTTCAAGTCAGAGCATGCAACCACTATGCTATGGTATCTCCTAATGCAGTTTGTTTCTAAAATAAGGCTGGCTTCATGTGGCATAAACGTGGTGATAAATACAGATGGTTCCTGACTTATGATAGCTTGACCTGGGATTTTTCCACTTTATAATAGTACAAAAGCAATACACATTCAGTAGAAACTGTACTTCAGGTTTTAAGTTCTGCTCTTTTCCCAGACTATGGTACTGGCATATGTGGTAGGACACTCTCCCATGCTGGGCAGCACCAGCGAGCCCCAGCTCCCAGGCAGCCACTCGATCATGAGAGTAGACACCTGATACTCTACAGTGGACTGTGTTGCCAGATGATTGTGCGCAACTGTAGACTAATGTCAGTATTCTGAGCATGGTTAAGGTAGGCTGGGCTAAGCTGTGATGTTCAGTAGGTTAAGTGTATTAAATGCATTTTCAACTTGCATATTTTCAACTTACAATGGGTTTATTGAAACATAGTCCCATCCTAAGTTGAGAAACATTTGTAGTGTTTTTCAAAAAAGTTTCATTCTATAACTTTATTACATGTCAACTACATATCCACTTAACTTCTTTAGTGAAACATGATGAAATTATTTGTACATATTATATCCCAAGGAGTCAGAGACAGAGACATAACATATAATAGCATAGTAATGTTAGACCCCATACTAGATGGTAAAGTAGATTGTAAAAGTCATAACTTGTGTATTACCATTTAATGTACTTTTTAATCTTTTTTTTTTTTTTTTTTGAGGCAGGATCTCATTCTGTTGCCTAGTCTGGAGTGCAGTGGTGTGATCATGGCTCACTGCAACCTCAACCTCCTGGGTTCAAGCGATCCTCCCACCTCAGCTTCCCAAGTAGCTGGGACTACAGGCACACGCCACCATGCCTGGCTAATTTTTTGTATTTTTTGTAGAGACGAGGTTTTGCCATGTTGCCCAGGCCACTCTCCAACTCCTGGGCTCAAGCAGCCCTCCTGCCTCAGCCTCCCAGAGTGTTGGGATTATAGGCGTGAGCCACCACACCTGGCCTTAATCTTCAAAGAAAGAAAGATTGTTCTAAAATCTCAGAGAGATATTCTAAAATTTATTATTGAATAGGTAGGACATGTACACAGTACAGTAGTCCCCCATTATCTGTGATTTCACTTTCTGTGGTTTTGTTTACCGGCAGTCAACTGCCATCTGAAAATATGAAATGGAAAGTTCCAGAAATAAACAATTCGTAAGTTTAAATTTTGTGCCATTCTGAGTAGGATGAAGAAATCTCTTACTGTCCTGCTTTCTCTGTCTGGGATGTGAATCATCCCTTTGTCCAGAGTATCCATGTTGTATGTGCTACCAGCCTGTTTGTCATTTGGTACCCATCTTTGTTTTGAGATGAACAAACATACTATACATAGGGTTCAGTACTATCCAAGGTTTTAAGCATCCACTGAGGATTTTGAAACATGTCCCCCAAGGATAAGGGGGGCTTCTATATACAATTTAAAAGGCACACATATATAGCAAACAGTTTGGTGGCTTTCCACAAGGTTTTTTTTTTTTTTTTTTGTTTTGTTTTTTTTGAGACGAAGTCTTGCTCTGTTGTCCAGGCTGGAGTGCAGTGGCACAATCTTGGCTCACTGCAGCCTCCACCTCCCAGATTCAAGCGATTCTCCTGCCTCAGCCTCCCAAGTAGCTGGGATTACAGATGTGTGCCACCATGCCTGGCTAATTTTTGTATTTTTAGTAGAGAGGGGGTTTCACCATGTTGGCCAGACTGGTTTTGAACTCCTGACCGCAAGCGATCCACCCGCGTTGGCCTCCCAAAGTGCTGGCATTACAGGGGTGAGCCACTGTGCCCAGTCGCTTTCCACAAGTTAAACATAAAATTTACATGTGACCTACCAATGCT